ATTGTTGTTGGGGGCAATATGCTGACTCTGTAAACCGCATAGAGAGGGCTGAAAGCCCTATGAAGCGGTATATAAGTCTAACTGCTATTGCTATTAAACAAGCAACCATAATATAGAAAGAGTGGGATCTAAATTGGAATTAGGATTTGAGTATGTAGGGGGAAAAAGGGGAGTTTGGTGATTAAATCCTACTTCTTCCTGTCAAGTTCAGCCGAAACCATCAATGCCTTTACATGTGGGGAAACCATTGTAGAGCTTATAAATTTTCATGGTCTTTTAGGGTGGGTGATACATTGTTTGGGTTTTATTTTATATCTAAAGCTGCCCAGCTGGAGATGCCTCAACTAGTACATGAAAAACAGAGACTTGTTCAAAACAGAGCTAATAGAAAAGGCAATAACTCCAGCTAGATTTCAAGAGGTAGTGTTTTAAGGGCCAAGAGTGGAAATCTTCATGTTAAAACGGCTAGGACTTTATTAAAATAACAGAGGTGAAAAATACATCGAATGGGAGGACAGGATAAGCGAGCCAATGAATCTTATTGCACGCGTGCTTCTGTGGTGTTTACAATACATACATAATCTCAATGCTGATAACATTTACATGTACCAACTTTCTAACTAACTAACCTTGGTTTTGACATCCCTGTTTTAGAATTAATGCTTGTGTGTTACAGATTTTGAACAAGAAAGAAATTTGGATTTTCACACGCCTAATGCATGGCCAGAGAGTTCTGCTGGGCGATTCCATCTCAAACTGGTCTCTTTACTTACAGCATTTGTGAGGTTTATCCATACCTTTTTATATTCCATTTCTTTAAACTCTTGTGCAAACTGCTCTCATGTTTACAGCATACTTTCGGAAACAATTTCTAATGAAAGCTTTGCAATGTGGTTGCTTGAAAATTTAACGTATGCAAGAACTTTTGTGCTCCTTTATGCAGCTATGTTCTTACTTCAAAACAGGATTTGATGGATCAGCATCAGGAATTCCAAGACAAATTACAGGATATATGCGATCTACTCACACAGACAGAAAATCAGATCATTGGCCACAAAGAGGCCCTTGTGATTGAAGATAGCAAGACTGAATTACAGCAATACCAAGTCAGGCAACAGGTAAATTGTTGAGTATCAACAAACACACTAAGCAGTCAGAATTTCACCAAGGACCAATTTGCAGCAAGTGGAATCACTTCTCATGTTCATGCCATGGCTAGAATGGTTTTAACTTATTGGGCAAACCAAAACGTCGTGAGTGCAAACAATAGATTATTGCTAAACCTGTGATATAAGCCCAAAATTGATGCATTATTCAGCAAATTCTCATTGAAACAAACAGCCTGTACCGAGGAATTCAGGGATTTAGGAGTTAAAACAGTGCCTTTAATCTTCCAAAAGGTTTACAGTTTCTATTTTCACCAATAAAGCTTCCCAAAATGCTTCTAAAATGCCACAAAAAAGGGAAGGGAATTGAATAGAGGTGCCCTGTGGTTAGATGGTTGATCAATTAAATTTAATAAATAAAAATAAATAAATATTTTTATTTCCGTTGTCATCCTTCTTCAAGGAACTGCAGAAAAGCATGCAATCAAATGCACAGGCCTTGGCAGAAATTGTGAAAGACACAGAAATGTTCCTGAAAGAGAATGGAGAAAAACTGCCATTGGAAGATAAGACCGCTCTTGAAGGGAAACTGAATGAAGCGAAAACCAAGTGTTTGTTGCTAAGCCAGAAGGCAGAGGAATCCAGAAAAGAGCTGGATAAAGCTGTGACGACAGCTATGAAACAGGAAACAGAAAAGGTTCTTTGGCAAACATTCACTTTTTCTTTCGAAACGATTCGTCTTCATAATTTCCGCTTGCGTGTGCTTTGTTGATATGAATGAGAAATTTCAGAAAAATCTTTTGACGAGTTGATCATTGTTATTCGTTCACGTTTGCATATGTTTTCATTTATTCATCAAACATATCTAGATTTCCATATTCATTTATAAATATATTCATCAAACTACAGTTTAAAAAGAAATCTTAAACCGTTCCAGAAGGTTTAGAAGTGGTGTAGTTCCACAACTACACCACTTAGAGCAGAGGATTCTCTAAGCACAATAGCTTTCCAGTGATTTTCTCGTTTTTTCTAAAACTGGGATAGAGCAATTATCCTTGCATGGTTATTTCCAAGCGTGACCTGTCAAAACCGCGCTCGACTAAGCCACGCCCGATTAAACCGCGTTGCTGACGTCATCAACAGGGCGACAACAGCCAGCGCGGAGAAAGAAGGGCGCTTTAAATAGTGCTTTGAAAGCAAGCCGATTCAACTTAAGGTTTAGGGTTAGGTTTAGGTTTAGGTTTAGGGTTAAGTTAAGGGTTAGGGTTAGGTTTAGGGTTAGGGTTAGGTTTAGGGTTAGGTTAAGGGTTAGGATTAGGTTAAGGGTTAGGATTAGGTTAAGGGTTAGGA